AGACAGAGGCAGAATCTAAAGCAGGCTCCAGGCTCTGAGCTGTCAGCACAGAGCCTGACGCAGGGCTCAAACTCATGAACCGTGAGATCATGACCTGAGCCGAAGTTGGACGCTTAACCGACTGAATCACCCAAGAGCTCCCCAAAATATTTATTTTTGAGACAGAGAGAGAGCTCAAGCAGGGGAGGGACAGAGAGAGAGGGAGACAGGATCCAAAGTGGGCTCCACACTGATAGCAGAGAGCCCGATGTGGGGCTTGAACCCACGAACTGTGAGATCATGACCTAAGCCAAAGTTGGACGCTTAACCAACTGAGCCATCCAGGCACCCCTCATTTCTTTTAAAATGCACCAGGAAGCATGAATTCTCCAGGCCCAGAAAATAAGTTCAAACCAGAAATAAACAGGCAAATAAGAATTTCTAACAAATGAGACCACGGGCAATATTGCTGGGTTTCAGTAACTGACCCTACTCATACTCTGAGCTGTAGCATTCCCTTAGCTGGAAGGCAGGCTGAACATCTGTGGACTAATTATAGCTTATAAACTTATCTGAGAAACCAATCTCTTAATTAAAAAAAAAAAATCAAATATGAGGGACGCCTGGGTGGCTCAGTTGGTGGAGCCTCTGACTTCGGCTCAGGTCACGATCTGTGGTCCGTGGGTTCGATCCCCATGTCAGGCTCTGTGCTGACAGCTCAGAGCCTGGAGCCTGCTTCGGATTCTGTGTCTCCCTCTCTCTGCCCCTCTCCCGCTCATGCTCTGTCTTTGTCTCTCAACAATAAATGTTAAAAAAAAATCAAATATGAGGTCTTAATTAAGACAGAAAATTAAAAGCATGATTAGGATTTTATTACTAAGAGTGGTTACTAATGAGAGGGATGATTCTCCATTTATATAACAGGATGGAAATAACAGCCCAGGATTTTAAACAACAGGTTAACTTTAAAGCCAACTACACAACTTGTTAGCCAGGAAGACGTGTTCTTTACATTGAACACTCCCGGAGTCCTTCTCTTCCTGACACTGTTCCCGGTATAGTTTATTTCCTATCCTACAAGAGTTTGTCTTAGAAGAGCAATTAATGTCACTTCAAAACGTGACAACAATTTCAAAACAGTTTTTTTCTTTACCAAATTAGCACATCCCTCGCCGTAAAACAAAAGATTACATAATGCTTCCTGCACCGAACTTTGGCAGCCTGCCCCAGGTCAGTAACTTGGATGCTTTGTCCAGGCAAACAACTCCCAGGCTGCCAGAGTGGTCATGATTTCCTTCATCAAGCATTCTCACACTGCCTTTGACACAGGAATCCTTTTTCAGTTTAAAAGTGGAACGTTGGGGCGCCTGGGTGGCGCAGTCGGTTGAGCGTCCGACTTCGGCCAGGTCACGATCTCGCGGTCCGTGAGTTCGAGCCCCGCGGCGGGCTCTGGGCGGATGGCTCGGAGCCTGGAGCCTGTTTCCGATTCTGCGTCTCCCTCTCTCTCTCTGCCCCTCCCCCGTTCATGCTCTGTGTCTCTCTGTCCCAAAAATAAATAAACGTTGAAAAAAAAAAAAAAAAAAGTGGAACGTTTCTGGGGCTCCCGGGTGGCTCAGTCGGTTGAGCGTCTGACTCCCATGTTCGGCTCAGGTCATGATCTCACGTTTTGTGGGTTCGAGCCCCACGTGGGGCTCTAAGATGACAGCATAGAGCCTGCTTGGGTTTCTCTCTCTCCCTCTCTCTGTCTGCCCCTCCCCCATTTGTGCTGTCTCTGTCTCTCTCAAAATAAGTAAATAAACTTAAAAAAAACTTTTAAAGTGGAACGTTTCTCAGGACCCGAGATGACCTTCCTAGAGTCAAGAAAAGGCCATGTGAATAATAAAATACTGTAGTTTCAAGTTCTGGGGATGTAAAGTTGCTCACATGCAGGAATCTGGGCCCTAGAGCCCAAGGGCTGACACTCCCAATATCAAGTGCAGTGTGGTGAGCTCAGAGCTCCCTGGAAGGGGCAGAAGACATCACAAACGACTCCAATGTCAGGAAGAGGTTACAAGTGCCACGAGAAAGAAGCAGGAATGTCAGGCAGGTTCACATGACAGAGGGAAAACTGATGGCTGGGTTGCCTTCACTGTTACTAGTGGCTCTGCTGGACATTTTGGAAATGAACAGACTTGTCAGCAAAATCACTAATGGGGTGGGTATATTTCAATCTGGAAAAACTTACAGAGATAGGGGGACGACAGATAACTCTCCTCAGTCTATTTTCTAATTGAAAAAAAATTGATATTCCTGACATTACATTTACTACTCGAAACAAAACAAAACAACAAAACAAAACAAAACCTCCTAGAAAATATAAATGGAAACATCATTGGAAAAATAAGTAACGTAGGAAATACTTATTAATGCTATTTTGCTTATTACCTAAATATTTCCACAGTGCCCAGCTTTTTATTTTTATGCTATGAGTCTTCTGATTTTTCCTATCAGTACTTATGGGTGCTTATTACATGCCAGGCATGGTAATTGGCACTGGGAATAGAGGGGTGAATGAAACACACTTAGCTGTGACTTTCCTGGAAGAATCACACAAACAATTATACAACCACAAACCGTGCTAGATGATGTGAAGGAAAAGTACGAGGTACTTTCTTGCCTGGGAGTGGCAAGGAAGTCTTTCCTAAAGAAATGACATTTATGGTGAGGCCTGAAGGGTGAGTAGGAATAAAGCAGGGGAAGGGAGTGGAGGGCTTGGGTGGGAGTGTTTCAGGAAGAGGCAAGAACAGGTCCCGAGGGTGTGAAGCAAGGAAAGGCATAGTGCAGAGGTGGGGGGAGTGGGCAACAGAGATCAGAGCCTTGAAGGACATGCTAAACATTTAGGACTTTATCCCCAAAGCAAAGGGTTTCAAGTAAGAAGTGACATATTGAGGTTTACTCAATCTGTTCCTTTGCTGCTACTGAGAGCCAAGAATGGCCTGGTGGAAGGAAGAAAGCCAAAGACCAGTGGGAGGCTCGCACGTCGTAGTTCCGGTGAACTCGGGTGGTTTCCTGCTTGGAGCGGTAGCAGTCGAGTGAGAGGGCAGTTGGCTAGCTCAAGGCATGCTTTAGAAGAGGAAGACTGAGACTTGGTGAGTGGGTGCATGCCTGTGTCGGGAGCTGAGGGAGATGATTCCCAACTGATGGACGGATGTGCCATTTACTAGAGAGGAAGTTGGAAAAGACGAGATCCAAAGGCCCAATGATGAGTTGAGTTTGAGATGTCTGCGAAACATCTCGGTACAGATGTCAAGTAGGAAGTTGGATACTCAGATCTTGGGGCTCAGAAGGGAGGTCTAGAGATACGAATTTGAGGACTCCTGGCAGGTAGATAGCATCCAAAGCCATGGACCATAGGTTTGTGGGGCAGGAAGGAGGAGAGAGGAGAGGAAAGGAGAGGAGGGGAGGAGAGCGGAGGGGAGGCGAGGAGACGGGAGACTTAGGGACCAAGGACCAAACCCTGGGGGGGGGGGGGGTCATTGATATTTAGCCCTTGTGTGACAGCTCTGGATATCGTGCACAACTATTTGCATGTGAAACCAGGTATTATGCCTCACTATCATACTGTATGCTAATCTCAAATTCTAAAAAGAATGCACAGACCCTCAGTTTTAAATGACTGCGTATAACCTGAAACATCATTCAGGAGAGGTGGAAAAGATGGTAGGGCCCCCACCACCTCTATGGAGCAAGCAACCAGAGGGACAAAATCTGTTTTCTGCCCAAACAATTGCACAAAGTGTCTTCCGGAGAAGTGCCGCTCCTGAGCCTAGGCTGTTGTGCGCCTCGACCAAGTGAGGGATCGGAATGAGAAGGCCAATCAACCCCGCAGGAAAGCCCAAACGTAAGCCGTCCGAGACCTTGCGCGGGTGGTTGCCAGCAAGGCCCAGTGAGGCCTGAGCAGCCCTGTTTAAAGACGGAGGCATCCCTGAACCCGGAAGTTCCCGGCAGGTCTTATTACGCTCCCCCCTTTCTTCCTTGTTTCCCAGGACTGCGCTGAACACCCCTGCCCCTCCCCCTCCAGGCAAACAAATCTCCGCTTTTCCACCTCTGTGCCTTTGTTCACCACCTGCGAGGCACTTCACTCTCACCTCCACCTTACGTACACTCTCAAAGTCCACCTCTGATGCTACCGGATCTCTTCCAGGTGGAAATAATTTCTCCCTTTCCACTATTTCCATCACCGGTTATTTGCACCTCTCTGAGCGCTTCGGGCTTTCCACCCTGGGCTACAGTTACTTGGGTATATGGCTTATATTCTCCCCCAGGCTGTGAGCTGCTAGAGAGCTGTGGGCGTGTCTATATTTGAGGTTCACAACAACCATCGGAGCCGGTTTTGCTTCCGCAGAGAAGACAAGGGATGCTCCTTTCTGAGGCATTTCTTTCCGCTGTGATTCAGAGGACGGTAATGTGCGGCGGTACGAGAAGGGAGCAGGAAAACACTGATCTATTTCCTTGTATTCCTACAATACCAATATACGGCTCACAGCAACACAGACTGGGCCATTAACTCTGAAATTCCTAAAACAGAGCACATCCAGAATCCTGAATTAGTGAATAAAAGGGAAAGAAGCCACGGGATAGTTTCTTCTTTGTTAGCAGTAGGCATTCAAAGACCAAGAAAATGTCAATGCATCATTTTTAAGCTTCTTCACGGTAGAGGATAACCACACCCTACTGTGAGCAGGAGACTGAAGACGGCAGACCCCTGGACGGTCTTCTTGCGGTCTAATGCTTAACAAGCATCAGTATATTTTAACTGCTAGCCCATGATTTGTGTGTCCCTTAAAGAGACAGGGAGTCTGCTGGTGAAGGGTTACCCACAGCAATCCTAAAAACTTCACAGCACATGTTCAATCCCAGTGAAATCCCAAATGTTTTAGTATGGAAGAAAAATCCAGATGCATCTAAGCCAGCTGTTCCTATCTGGAGCTAGAAAAGTACTGGTGAAAATAACAGCCTTCGCTGTCCCTGTTGGGACTTACCTCTTTGGTAACACAAGGGAGCGATACTGCCAAATTACAAAACTTCACAGCGTCATCTGTTTGTTCAAGATCGATGTAACACTAGAAATGAAAAGTCGACAATGTGAAAGGGAATCCCATTTTTATGTAATGCATTCAAAGTGATCTTAAAACAAGTGGTCTTCCTTACCTTGGCCAAGAACAAGTAATTGGACTTAGAAAAACCAGGGTGTAGTTCTTCAACCTGATTTTAAGAGAGAACAGAAAAAAGAATAAATGGGGCAATATTATAACAACCAGTAAAGAATCAGATATTAACCAAGTTGTCTGAAAAATTTAGATTGGTTGTATTACATCTGACTCGTTTGATCAATTCAAGTATGGTGGAAATACAGCTTTTGAGATTATCCATTAAAATGAGATTATTATTGGGGCGCCTGGGTGACTCAGTCGGTTAAGCGTCTGACTTCAGCTCAGGTCATGATCTCACAGTTTGTGGGTTCAAGCCCCACGTTGGGCTCTGTGCTGACAGCTCGGAGCCTGGAGCCTGCTTCGGATTCTGTGTCTCCCTCTTTCTCTGCCCCTCCCACACTCATGTTCTGTCTCTCTCTGTCTCAGAAATAAATAAACATTTAAAAAATGAGATTATTGGGGCGCCTGGGTGGCGCAGTCGGTTAAGTGTCCGACTTCAGCCAGGTCACGATCTCGCGGTCCGTGAGTTCGAGCCCCGCGTCAGGCTCTGGGCTGATGGCTCGGAGCCTGGAGCCTGTTTCTGATTCTGTGTCTCCCTCTCTCTCTGCCCCTCCCCCGTTCATGCTCTGTCTCTCTCTGTCCCAAAAATAAATAAACGTTGAAAAAAAAATTTAAAAAAAATGAGATTATTATTATTAAGCTCATAGAGCTTATGAAACAATGAGATCCTTTAAGATTTCAGGATTCCTTTGTATAACCTATCCTTTCTCTTTTTTTCTTTTCGAGGACAGAAACAATTGGCGATACATGCTCCCAAGACAAGTCCTATACAGTTTAGTCTATTTAGGAGACAATTAGAGGATGATAGGTATCCCATGACAAACATCCTCCACCACGTTAGTATTTGATTTCTTATGATTTCAACACATCCCACGGGCTGAATAATATCTAAAGTCCATCGCGTCAAGTATTTTTGAAGAAAAGACAGACCCGGGAAACAACTAGTCCAAGTAGCAGACCTACTTACAAATTTTAATAAGTGGGTATTATGAAGGCACTTTACTAAACTCTTATGCACATCTACTAAACTTTTTTTTTAATGTTTATTTGTTTTTGAGAGGGAGAGAGAGAGAGAGAGAGAGTGTGAGCAGGGGAGGAGCAAGAGAGAGAGGGAGACACAGAATCCAAAGCAGGCTCCAGGCTCTGAGCTGTCAGCACAGAGCCCAGTGCGGGGGTTCGAACTCACAAACCGCAAGATCATGACCTGAGCTGAAGTCGGATGCTTCACCGACTGAGCCACCCAGGCACCCCACACATCTACTAAACTTTTATGCATCAGTTCCCTTTCTTTATCTCTGGTGAATAAGAATTCTTGCAGGCATCTGGCATTGTTACTAGAGAGCACTTCTTAGAACCTAAGTTAATCTTCGGTCAGCTGCTGCTGTATTAAGGACCAATGCAAATAAGCTCCCAATCTGACCTTGGAACCCAACCCAGAGAGACGTAGAACCCAAGCAAAGAAGGTTACTTTTTTTTTAATGTTTATTATTTATTTTGAGAGAGAGAGAGAGAGAGCAGGGGGAGGGACAGAGAGAGAGAGAGGGAGAGAGAGAATCCCAAGCAGACTCCGTGCTGTCAGTGAAAAGCCCAATGTAAGGCTTGAACCCATGAACTGTGAGCTCACAACCTGAGCCGAAACCAAGAGTTGGATGCTTAACTTCCTCCAGGAGCCCCAAGAAGGTTACTTTAACAAATTTACAAAGATATGCATGTTTTACAAGATACAAGTGATACGAACATTTCCAAAACTAAAAAGTGAGTGCTTCTTTGTTCTGACTTTATTTTCAATTTCAATCTCATCTCCCAGGGGTAACCACTATCAACAGTTTGACATGAATCTTACCAGACCCTTTATCAAGCATACACAAGTAAAAAAAAAAAAAATTCACTTTGGAAAAAAATGATTATGGGACCATTTCTGTATATTGGTCCAAAACGTTTTTTCCCACAATGTATCACAGACACATTTCTGTGTTTGCATACACAGATCTACCTCATTCCTAAGAGGTGTATTTCATATTACACATATGCCGTAATTAAGCATTCTTTATTACACATTTAGACATTTTTTTACTGTTACCAATAATGATCAGTGAAATACTTTCTCCTGTATACTTGTGTACAAGTGTGATTATGTCTGTAGAAGAGATTCCTGGAAGTTGAATTGCTGAGTCAAAGGATACATGCATTTTAAATTTTTTTTTTTCAAAGTTTATTTATTTTTGGGACAGAGAGAGACAGAGCATGAACGGGGGAGGGGCAGAGAGAGAGGGAGACACAGAATCGGAAACAGGCTCCAGGCTCTGAGCCATCAGCCCAGAGCCTGACGCGGGGCTCGAACTCACGGACCGTGAGATCGTGACCTGGCTGAAGTCGGACGCTTAACCGACTGCGCCACCCAGGCGCCCCAGGATACATGCATTTTAAAGATGGATACTATTGGGTGGATCTAAGACTTAGGGGGCTGAGGAGTTCACATCTTTGGTAAAGGGCATATACTCTACAAAACCCAAAAGGGAAGGATCCTAGGATAAAGTGTCTTGGGCTGGAGAGTCAAACTGGGTGTTTATTCTTTAGGACCGAGTAGATGAACAGTGTGTGGATCTGGCCAAGAACTTGCTAGTGAAACAGCAAGGCTGCCAACAGATGGGAGGACACCGTCAAGTTCAATCCTAGCCACAGCCTAGAAAAGCCTAGAGAGCCACCCATGGTATTGATGAGTTCTGGTTCTGCTGGTTCTCTCTCGTCCAATCATTTCCATCTCTACTCTTCAAGTCTACTAAGTGTATTTTTTAAGTCTCTCTAAAAGGAAGACTTTGATTAAACTTTGTTCTGTTGCACCTTCTTCTACGTCCAGTAGTTGCCCAGCTCTGTCCAAAACCTGTTCATAAAACTTGCTTCAACATATGAGAATAAGCAGCTTATTTCTTTTTTTTAGTTAATTATTTTTTTAAATTTACATAAAAGTCAGGCTATAGCGCAACAATGATTTCAGGAGTAGATTCCTTAATGCCCCTTACCCATTTAGCCCATTTCCCCCTCCCACAACCCTCTGCTTGTTATCTATATTTAAGAGTCTCTTATGTTTTGTCCCCTCCCTGTTTTTATATTATTTTTGTTTCCCTTCCCTTATGTTCATCTGTTCTGTGTCTTAAAGTCCTCATATGAGTGAAGTCATATGATATTTGTCTTTCTCTGACTGACTAATTTTGCTTAGCATAATACTCTCTAGTTCCATCCACATAGTTGCAAATGGAAAGATCATTCTTTTTGATTGCCGAGTAATACTCCATTGTATATATATATACCACATCTTCTTTATCCATTCATCCGTCAATGGACATTTGGGCTCTTTCCATACTTTGGCTATTGTTGATAGTGCTGCTACATATATAGGGGTGCATGTGCCCCTTCGAAACAGCACACCTGTATCCCTTGGATAGATACCTAGTAGTGCAATTGGTGGATCACAGAGTAATTCTATTTTTAATTTTTTGAGGAACCTCCATACTGTTTTCCCGAGTGGGTGTACCAGTTTGCATTCCTACCAGCAGTGCAAAAGAGATCCTCTTTCTCCGCATCTGTTGTTGCCTGAGTTGTTCATGTTAGCCATTCTGACAGGTGTGAGGTGGTATCTCATTATGGTTTTGATTTGTATTTCCAGGATGATGAGTGATGTTGAACATTTTTTTTTATGTGTCTGTCTGCCATCTGGATGTCTTCTTTGGAGAAGCGTCTATTCATGTCTTTTGCCCATTTCTTCACTGGATTTTTTTTTGGGGGGGGCGGTGTTGAGTTTGATAAGTTCTTTATAGATTTTGTATACTAACCCTTTATCTACTATGTCATTTGCAAATACCTTCTTCCATTCCATTGGTTGCCTTTTAGTTTTGCTGATTGTTTCCTTCGCCATGCAGAAGCTTTTTATTTTGATGAGGTCCCAATAGTTCAATTTTGCTTTTGTTTCCCTTGCCTCTGGAGACGTGCTGAGTAAGAAATTGCTGCTGCCAAGGTCAAAGAGGTTTTTGCCTGCTCTCTCCTCTAGGATTTTGATGGCTTCCTCTCTTACATTTAGGTCTTTCATCTGTTTTGAGTTTATTTTTGTATATGGTGTAAGAAAGTGGTCCAGGTTCAATCTTCTGCATGTCGCTGTCCAGTTTTCCCAACAGGATTTGTTGAAGAGACTGTCCTTATTCCATTGGATAGTCTTTCCTACTTTGTCAAAGAGTAGTTGGCCATATGTTTGTGGGTCCATTTCTGGGTTTTCTATTCTGTTCCATTGATCTCAGTGTCTGTTTTTGTGCCAGTACCATACTGTCTTGATGATTACAGCTTCGTAATAAAGCTTGAAGTCCGGGGGTGTGATGCCTCCAGCTTCGGTTTTCTTTTTCAAGATTGCTTTGGCTATTTGGGGTCTTTTGTGGTTCCATACAAATTTTAGGATTGTTTGTTCTAGCTCTGTGAAGAATGCTGGTGTTATTTTGATAGGGACTGCTTATTTCTTTAATATTAGCATTTTAATCCTGCATATATACCTTAGCACTTATGTTTAATTAGCCATCCTGATTATAAATCAGAACATCTCTTTCTTTTTGTGCTCATGGTTAAAAAAAAAAAAGAAGCCGCCAAAGGTACATAGGCTACTAACAACACCAACTTCCTAAAATGGAGCAGATTCTAACTTTTTACCAAAGGGCTTGCCTAAATAACAAGGAAGGTAGTTATTTAGGTAAGTACCTAATGCTCAGTAGAATGTTCTAGTTAAGAAGCAGTTCCTAGCTAGGCTCTTAGAACACCCTATAATAATACCTGGCAGAGAATATTGTAGCTGTTTACTTGGTCTTGGCTGTACAAGTTCCCTGGAGACAGGAGCTGCATTGGTCATTTCTGCATTCCCTACGTTGGCCATGCTGGTACTAGGTATGTGCTTAATAAACATTACTGAATAAGCTAGCATTGTTTTAAAAACATCTCATAAACTCAAGCCATAGCCCTCCACCATATCAGGGCATAGAAGAAGGCTCTGCAGGTGGTAAAACCACTCAGGGAGATCCAGAGGTCTTATGTTGCAAAGAGTGAGTGAGATCAGGGCCGCCCGTCTATCCCCCAACACTGCCACACCTGTTATCTATTACACACACCCAGGCACTGATTTCAGGCTGTCAACCACGCCATGGGCTGCACAGGAATAGCTCTGAGAGCTTTAAAAACACTGATCAGGTTTTAAAAACACTTTGTTGTGACCCAATAATTCCATTCCTAGGTACTTACCAAAGAAAATTAAAAACATGTCTACACAAAAGCTTGCATATGAATGTTCATTGAAGGTTTATTAATAATAGCCCCAAATTGGACACAACGCAAATGTCCACCAATGGGCAAATGCATAAGCAGACTGTGGTATATCCACAAAATGGAATATTACAAGGCAGTAAAAAGGAACTATGGATACACCGATGAAATGAATGAATCTCAAAACATTATGCTGAGCAAAGGAAGCCAGATACTCAAAGTAAAAGCTCAATGATTCCATTTATATAAACTTTTAGAATAGGTCAAAAAAACAGAAAAGCAGATCAGTGGTTGCCTGGGGCAGGGGCTGAGGGAAATTGACAGCAGAGGGGCAAAGAGAACTCTTGAAAGTGATGGAAATGTTCTAAATCTTAAAATGGTGGTGGTTACCTGAGTGTATTAATTTGCCAAGCTTCAATGAAGTGCACACTTAAAATGGGTGCATTTTATTGAATATAAACTATATCTTAATATATTCAAAGATTCTGAAATAATTAGTCTGGGTCATGGTCTAGGCTGGCATTTTTTTTTCAAAGTTCACCCACTTATTATTTGAGAGAGAGAAAGAGAGAGAGCGAGCAAATTGGGGAGGGGCAGAGAGAGAGGGAGAGAGAGAATCCCAAACAGGCTCTGTGCTGACAGTGTGGACTCCATGCAAGGCTCAGTCTCAGCTCTCCAGATGATTCTAATGTACAGCCAAGGTTGAGAACCACTGCCCGAGGGAATTATCAGAATTTTGGATGAGGTGGGAAGCATGCTACAGTTTGAAAGAATTCCCACAGAGGATTCACAGATGACTCCTGATCTAAAATCACCTCCCTGGATTGCTGTGATGCTGTGGGAGGATCAGATTTCACCAGTTATAAGAGCAAAATAATAGCAGTGAATGTTTATTTGTAGTTAGAGTAGTTAATGTGCGAGGTCCTGGGCCAAGAAAATTACAAGCATTATTTGATGAATTGTACCACAAATCATATAAAGTAGGTATTCATCTGCTTCACAGATGAAGAATTTAAGATTAGGAGAAATAAAGAAACACGGCCAGGTCACAGGGACAGGGAGAGGCCCAGATCTCAAACTGATTCTAAAGCTAATGCTCTACATCTCTCCAGAACTGAGAGGGATGGTCTAGGGACACATTCCTGGCCCCTATGAATCCTCTTTGGAGAGACAGAGCTGGGGACAGGAGTCCTACAGTCTAGGGTCCAAAAACACGACTTCCTACTGGGACTAGGGGTTGCAGACTCTCCTAGGGCATGGGATCCAAGTTCCTTCTCCTCCCCATACCTCCCAGATTTCTCACTTCCTCCCCAGCCTTTGCCCTTAGCACTCTGGGTTCCTCAGTACCCCCAGATGTTGCAGTCAATGTAGAAGGGAGCTTTCCTGATGCCTTCTGACTCTCTGAACAAACACCACCAAATGCATTTTCAGACAGAATCTAAGTCAAGACTGAATGGGGAGGTCCCCAAGATGGTTTGTCAAGGTGTTTACATTTTAATAACATTAACATTTTCTGAGCTGATATGGAGCACTTCCTAGGAGCTAGGAAATCGCTAAGTAATTTACTTGTATTAACTTATTTAACGTTCACAACAACACTCTGAGTCAGGTACTATTCTCTCCATGTTATTGATGAACTTGAGAGAAAGGTTAAGAAACTCGTCTAATGTTAATCAGCCGGTAAGTGGCAGAACTGAGATTTAACCAGGTGGTCTATAGAGTTCTAGAGGTTGCAATCCTTACCTCTACATCGCTGGGCCTCTGATCACTTTTGATTTTATCTGTGTAATATTTCAGGTATATTAGCACCTTAAGAATTTGGGGGCAGTGTCCTAAAGATCTGATCCCCCATTTATAACTGCTACTATGGAGAAATGAGTTTCAAGCCCCAACGACATTTTTCCTAATTAGCTTAGCACCTTCTATGAACCATTTAGCTTAAATATACCCATGATCTATATTCTTTTTTTTTAATGTTTATTTATTTATTTTGAGAGACAGAGAGAGAGAGAGAGAAAGAGAGAGAGAGAGTGTGTGTGTGCGTGTGTGTGTGTGAATGGGGGAGGGGCAGAGAGCAAGAAAGAGAGAGAGAATCTCCAACAGACTCCACACACAGCATGAAGTCCAACTTGGGGCTTGATCCTACGACTGTGAGATCACGACCTGAGCAGAAATCAAGAGTTGGTCACATGACCGACTAAGCCACCCAGGTGCCCCTACTATGATCTGTATTCTTATAAATTTAAAATGAAATAACAAATTACCAGTGGTGGATAAAAGGTGAAGAAATAAGGATGATACAGTTTTAAACTACATTCATGTCTTTGGTCTGCCATTGTGTGACACTAGAAAAAATTAAGTTCCTGAGGTCTTGATTTCCTTTTTTTAAGTTTTAATTTAATTTTAATTTAATTTAGAGAGAGAGAGCATAGGTAAGGGAGAGGGGCAGAGAGAGACAGAATCTTAAGCAGGTTCCATGCTCAGTGCAGAGCCCGATGTGGGGCTCGATCCCATGACCCTGGGATCATGACCTGAGCCAAAATGAAGAGTTGGATGCTCAACTGACTGAGCCACCCAGGTGCCCCTTGATTTCCTTTTTATAAAACAAAAAAGATCACATTAAATAAAAAATAAGAAACATCTGGCCTTTGTACTTTTATTCCCTGTACTTTTTCCCACTGGACTCATGCTTAAGCTCAGAACATTTATTTTTTTCCACAGAGCACAGTAGGTAGGCACTAAGCATTCATTCATAAATGGAAAGTACAATGAAATGTACCTGTGATCTTAGAATATGTGTTCCCCAAATCCCTTTCAGTTCTACAAAATTGATCCCTAAGATACAACAAAAAAATATGAGAAGGTACAAAATGTTGGACAATACAATTTAGAGTCTGATTTTGTCTCTATTGTTACAAATCTGAAATAGGTAGACGAAAAAGATGAAACATCTTAGTCTCTATAAGATTCTATAACTGGTTCCAGAGAAAGATAAAGGGATTAGCCTACCAGAAAGTTGATTATATGCACACACATATATTACTGTTTAGAGTTTTATTATACATTTTAAGACAGGAATGAAAATACTGGTTTGGTCTGATACCCTAAGAATGTTCTAGAGAACTGTCTGCAACCTGTAGAATGGCTTTTGAAATAACTCTCCCTTTTGGCATCTTTTAGTTCTTTAAGATTAAACTGGTTCTTTTTTTTTTTTTTTAAAGGTTGAACATATTTTTTTTTTTAATTTTTTTTTAACGTTTATTTATTTTTGAGACAGAGAGAGACAGAGCATGAACGGGGGAGGGGCAGAGAGAGAGGGAGACACAGAATCTGAAACAGGCTCCAGGCTCTGAGCTGTCAGCACAGAGCCCGACGCGGGGCTCGAACTCACGGACCGCGAGATCGTGACCTGAGCCGAAGTCGGCTGCTTAACCGACTGAGCCACCCAGGCGCCCCAAGATTAAACTGGTTCTATATTAGGCTCATTACGAGAATTTGGAACCAAGTCTAATAATCAGGGCATGAATGCTTTTGCACATGCTCACACAACCTGGAGAGCTGCTCTTGGATTTGGTAGTAAGGGCTGTACCTAGGACCTAGGGAATAACTAGCTGCTCTGGGAAGCAGTTTGGACATGCTAAAACTAGGACTCCACCCCAGGCTTCCATTGGAGATCTACATGAAGAAGGGTAGGGGGGACTAACGCAGATCATATAGCCAGTTCGATACTAAAATAATGGATACACAAAATATACCTTAAGGAAATTTTGCAAAGCTTCTTCTACAGTTGAGGATGGTATTTTTCCAAACAGAGTAGCAGCCATTTTTTTCTCAATCCAGCTCAGTTTCGAGACCTGCAAATATGAAGCAACATCATTCTTAGAGAGTTTTCACTTTTTGAATGAAGAATCTCTCCTCAGTTAGATGTGTGTGTGTGTGCGTGTGTGTGTGTGTAGGTGTATATGTGTGTGTATGCGTATAATACATAAATATGAACATATTCCTAAATAACATACATGACAGAGATCAACTTAATGATATTAATATTGTACCTTCCCTTTTTTATAATTCTAACAAACTATGAGCTCTAAAAAGCACTGGTTACCAAACCAATTTAAAATACTCATGATGAGGGGTGCCTGGGTGGCTCAGTCGGTTAAGCGTCCGACTTCAGCTCAGGTCACGATCTCACGGTCTGTGAGTTCGAGCCCCGCATCGGGCTCTGGGCTGATGGCTCAGAGCCTGGAGCCTGCTTCGGATTCTGTGTCTCCCTCTCTCTCTGCCCCTCCCCCATTCATGCTCTGTCTCTCTCTGTCTCAAAAATAAATAAACGTTAAAAAATTAAAAAAATAATAAATAAAATAAAAAATAAAATACTCATGATGAGATGTGTGTTCAATCAGAGTCAGGGGTGGGGATGGGGAATAATGCTGATCCTGTTTGTTCACGTGATTCAAGAGTCTGAGATGGCCATACAGTATTTCTTTGCATGGAGTATAGGAGCTACCAGACCCCACCTTTTCTTTCTTACTGCCTACTTCCCGCTGCCAACCTGATCCAGAATACAGCATCACAGAAATGTAAATAGAACAAGGATCCTCAACCCGGGGGGAGTGTAGAGCGAAGTCTCAGTATACATATTTACAATCCAGGAGAAAAATTTTTTAACCAATAACCACCAAAATTCAATTTCCTGTTATCATTTATTTTTTGCTTCCTTCCCCCATCATTTTATTTTAATTCCAGTTGAGTTAACATACAGTGTTATGTTAGCTTCAGGTGTACAATATAGTGATTCAACACTTTCATATATCACTCAGTACTCTACGAGATAAATGTACTCTTTTTTTTTTTAATTTTTTTTTTTTTTACCATTTATTTATTTTTGAGACAGGGAGAGACAGCATGAATAGGGGAGGGTCAGAGAGAGAGGGAGACACAGAATTTGAAACAGGCTCCAGGCTCTGAGCTGTCAGCACAGAGCCCGATGCGGGGCTTGAACTCACGGACCGCGAGATCATGACCTGAGCCGAAGTCGGATGCTTAACCGACTAAGCCACCCAGGCACCCCAAGATAAGTGTACTCTTAATCCCCTTTACCTATTTCCCCCATCTACCCGCCACTGCCCCTCTGGTAACCATCTGTTTGTTCTCTTAGTCAAGTGTTTGTTTTTTGGTTTGTCTCTTTTCTTATTTCCCTTGTTTGTTTCTTGAATTCCACATATGAGTGAAATCATAAAATATTTGTCTTTCTCTAACTTATTTCACTTAGTGTTAAACCCACTAGATCTGTCATGTTGTTGCAAATGGCAAGATTCCATTCTTTTTATGGCTGAATAATATTCTACTGTGTATAAATACCACTTCTTCTTTGTCTATTCATGTATCAATGGATACTTAGGTTCCTTCTATAATTTGGCTATTATAAATAATGTTGCAATAAACATAGGGGTGCATGTATTCCTTGGAATTAATGTTTTTGTATCCTTTGGTAAATATCCAGTAGTGTGATTACTGGATCATAGAGTAGTTCTATTTATAATTTTTCAAGGAACCTCCATACTACCTTCCACAGTGTCTGCACCAGTTTGCATTCCCACCAACAGTGCATAAGGGTTCCTATTTCTCTACATCCTCACCAACACTTGTTATTTCTTGTGTTTTTGATTTTAGTCATTCCAATAGATGTGAGGTGATATCTCATTGTGGTTTAGATTTCCATTTCCCTGATGATGAGTGATGTTGAACACTTATTCATGTGTCTGTTGTCCATCTGTATATCTTCTTTGGAGAAATGTCTGTTCATGTCTTCTCATGTTTTAATTGGATTATTTGTTTTTTGGGTATTGAGTTGTATACGTTCTTTATATATTTTGGATACTAACCCTTTATCAGATATGTTATTGGCAAATATATTCTCCCATTCAGTAGGTTGTCTTTTAGTTTTTTTGGTTGTTTCCTTTGCTGTGTCGAAAATTTTTATTTTGAGGCAGTCCCAATAGTTTATTTTTGCTTCTGTTTCCCTTGCCTCAGGAGAATCATCTAGAAAGATGTTGTTATGGCCAATATCAGAGAAATTACTGCCTGTGCTCTCTTCTAGGATTTTTATGGTTTCAGGGCTCACATTTAGGTCTTTATTCCATTTTCACTTTGTGTATGGTGAAAGAAAGTGATCCGGTTTCGTGGTGCTGTCCAGTTTTCCCAACACCATTTGTTGAAGAGACTGTCTTTTTCCCATAGCATATTCTTGCCTCCTTTGTCAAAGATCAATTGACCATGTAATTGTGGATTTACTTCTGGGCTTCCTATTCTGTTCTATTGATTACATGTCTATGTTTGTGCTAGTACAAACTGGTTTGATTGCTACAGCTTTGTAATATAACTTGAAGTCTGGAATTCTGATGCTGCCACTTTTGCTTTTCAAGAATGCTTTAGCTATTCAGGGTCTTCTGTGGTTCCATACAAATTTTAGGATTGCTTGTTCTAGTTCTGTGAAAAATGCTGTTGGTATTTTGATAGGGATTGCATCAAATATATAGATTGTTTGGAGAGTACAGACATTTTGACAATATTTGTTGTTCCAATACATGAGTATGGATGTCTTCCCATTTCTTTGTGTTATCTTCAGTTCCTTTCATTAATGTTTTATAGTTTTCTGAGTACAGGTCTTTCACCTCTTTAAGTTTATTCCTAGGCATTTTATTATTTTTGTTACAATAGTAAATGGGATTCTTTTTTTAATTTTTAAACATTTTATTCATTTTTGAGAGACAGAGAGAGACAGAGTGTGAGTGGGGGCGGGGCAGAGAGAGAGGGAGACACAAAATCTGAAGCAGGCTCCAGGCTCTGAGCTGACGGCACAGAGCCCGACGTGGGGCACGAACTCACGGACTGCGAGATCATGCGCTAAACCAAAGCCAGACGTTCAGCCAATTGACTCACCCAGGTGCCCCGGGATCATTTTCTTAATTTTTCTTTCTGCTGCTTTTAGAAACTCAACAGATTTCTGTACATGGGGATTTCTTGTCCCGTGACCTGAATGAATTCATTTATTAGTTCTAGTAGTTTTTCGAGGAAGTCTTTATTTTTTCTTTTTTTTTTTTTTATTTATTTATTTTTGGGACAGAGAGAGACAGAGCATGAACGGGGGAGGGGCAGAGAGAGAGGGAGACACAGAATCGGAAGCAGGCTCCAGGCTCCGAGCCATCAGCCCAGAGCCCGACGTGGGGCTTGAACTCACGGACCGCGAGATCGTGACCTGAGCTGAAGTCGGACGCTTAACCGACTGCGCCACCCAGGCGCCCCATATTTTTTCTATATATAGATTCTCCCAACTGCAAATAGTGAAAGTTTTACTTCTTCCCTACCAATTTGAATGCCTTTTATTTCTTCTTCTTCCCCTTCCCCTTCTCCTTCTTTTTGTCTGATTGCTGTGGCTAGGACTTCCAGTACTATGTTAAATAAAAGTGGTGAGAGTGGACATCACTGCACTGTTCCTGACCTTAGGGGAAAAGCTCTCAGCTGTCTTTCCACATAAGGCCTTTATGATGTTGAGGTATGTTTCCTCTAAAAACCAACTTTGTTGAGCACGTTTATCATGAATGGATATTTACTCTGTCAAATGCTTTTTCTGCATCTATTGAAATGTTCATATGGTTTTTGTCCTTTCTCTTAATAATGTGATGTATCACACTGACTGATTTGCAAACAATGAACCACTCTTGCATGCCAGAAATAAATCCCACTTGATCATGGTAAATGATTTTTTGAATCTATTGTTAGATTTGGTTTGCTATTATTTTGTTGAGGATTTTTGCATGTATGTTCACCAGAGATATTGGCTTGTAGTTATTTTTTGTAGTGTGTCTTTATCTGGTTTTGGAATCAGGGTAATGCTGGCCTATTAGAATGCATTTGGAAATTTTCCTTCCTCTTCTATTTTTAAGAAAAGTTTGACAAGAATAAGTATTAACTCTTCTTTAAATATATGGTAGAATTCACCTGTGAAACCATCTGGACTTTTATTTGTTGGGAGTTTTTAAATTACTATTTAATTTCACTGCTGGTAATCAATCTGCTCAAATCTTGCATTTCTTCCTGTTTCAGTTTTGGTAGGTTATATAGTTTCTAGGAATTTATTTATCTCTTCTAGGTTGTCCAGTTTGTTGGGATAAATTTGCATAATATTCTCTTATAATCCTTTGTATTTCTGTGGGGTCAGTTATTTCTCCTCTTATGTTTCTATTTGAGTCCTCTTTTTGTTTTTGTTTTTGTTTTGTTTTTTTTTTTTGATGAGTCTGGCTAGGGGTTTATCAATTTTGTTGCTCTGTTTAAGGAACCAGCTCCTAGTTTCACTGATCTGTCCGTCTTCCTTCCTTCCTTCCTTCCTTCCTTCCTTCCTTCCTTCCTTCCTTCTTTCCTGCCTTCCCTTCCTTCCTTCCCTTCTTTTTCTGTATCATTTATTTCTGCTCTAATCTTTATTATTTCCTTCCTTCTGCTGGATTTGGGTTTTGTTTGTTCTTCTTTTTCTAGCTCTTTTAGTTGTCATGTTAGGTTATTTGAGATTTTTCTTGCTTCTTGAGGTAGACCTGTATTGCTATAAACTTCTCTCTTAGGACCACTTTTGCTGGACCCCAAAGATTTTGTATTATTGTGTTTTCATTTTCATTTGCCTCCATGTATTTTTTTATTTCCTCTTTAATTTTTTGGTTGACTCATCCATTGATTAGTAGCATATTATTTAACCTCCATGTATTTGTGTTCTTTCCAGATTTTTTTCTTGCAGTTGATTTCTAGTTTTACAGCATTGTGGTCAGAAAAGACGCATGGTATGACTTTTTGAATTTGTTGAGAC